AAAAAAAAAAATCTAAAAAAAAGATTGCTGAACTGAATCTTGGAAACCTTTAAAAAAATTTAAAAAATAAAAAAAGACTGTCATTTTTTTGGCAATACATTTAGTTTCAGTTATTCCAGATCTAAATTGAAATCATCAAAACTAAAGCCTGTGACAAGCACGTTATACACCACCCTCTGTCCCAAACCTATCATTTTGCTTTCAACATGCCGGGGGTGCCAAAAAACCATATATGTACACATTTTAAGCGATGTTAACGTTTTGATCAACATTGCTCAAGCAGTAGTTTGCCATCATCAGAAGTGTCTGGATGCTGATGGTAACCACTTTGAGCACCTCTTATAATTGCAGAAGTCAAACGTGACTTGTATTCATCTTTTATCGCTATATGTTAATACAGTTTTTTCCTTTCTTAAAAAATGTGTGTATATTTTCTGGCACCCTCAGTATAATAACCTAAACCAAGTGCAGAACCTGCCTGTGCCACCTGAAGGGATAAAAAGGAGCATCTTCACCCTTCAGTACAGAGGTGAGTGCTTTACCTTCTGAACTTGCATGGCCCCCTACATGTGCCTCAGTCATTCAACAACACTGTTTTAATTCTATTTTTTTTTATTTTCTATTATTTATATTCTATTCTATATATATAGAATATATATATATATATATATATATATATAATTATAGTCTATTATTTATATTCTAATTTAATTTATTCGTCTCTAGTCTGTCTTCCCAGCTAAACCACAAGGCGCTGGCAGGAACATGTTCCATTCGCCTTCCTATCCCCAGTATCTACCAGTGCATCGCAGATCCTTAATAAATGAATTGCTGGCAGAGATGAAATATATGAATGCATTAAAGGTGCCTGCTTATTGTTGGGGGGGGCAGGGGGAGCACTAAGAATTCACATATACTTCAGACACTTACATAATGAAAAGTACTGTGCACATTCTCAGCCAAATAAAAAAGCAAGAATAATATAATAAAACTTCCTCTGACCATAGATTTACTAAATTGCCACATAAACCTGTGTTGAGGCTTGACTGAAAAAAGCACTTTATTTGTCAATTATCTATCTCACAGCTTCATGGTACTGGTTTTGGTCCCATTCAGGCCTAACCCAGCCAGTCACTTACTTGTAATACTGTTTCTGAAGGGCTGACATCTCCACCCTGAGGATCTGTTCCACTTTGGCAGGAAGGGATTTCTCCACGTCCTTTTTGACTCTCCGGAGAAGAAAAGGCTCGAGCACCTTATGTAGACTCTGGTAGCCATTCTCTCTCCCTTTCCCATGATCTTCTTCAAAATCTTCCCAGAACTCAAACCTAGACAAGAAACAGTATAGTGTTGCTCAGTCACATAGAATGTTAAAGTATTTTTTCAACAAAACTTCCTTTTAAAAGGAACTAAATGGGGAAAAAAATCTGGAAAAAAAAAATGAATCTTCCCTATATGGAAAGATAAATTTAATCAGTCACTATCTCTTGATTATAAGAAAGGGGAAAACAAAAGGAAAGGGAAAATTAATTGAGTTAATTCCATCAGTCTACACTGGATAACAGCAGGTTTCCAAATCTGAGACTGGATCTAGAGTTCACAAAACATTTCAGTATATAATGCAATTAGTATATATGTTAGCATAGTAAGTTATTGTGATGAAGTATTATGCAGAAAAATTAATCACGAGCTATCTTTTAATAAGCTGCAATTTCTTGGGAAAACAAAAATCAGAGGTGTAAGAAAAATCAGTGGCAGTATTACAGTGTCACCGTTCAGAGGTAAAAGTTAGATAATTTCCATAAATAACCTTCACTGTTCATACATTCAAAAGTTAATGGATTATAATGATAGTAAACAAGACTATACAGCCCCGACAAGAAGCAATACAAATGAAACAAATTTAACACTAAGAGAACTTGGGGACACACACTTTATTTATGAATATAAAAACTTGTCACCCATCATAAAATTCTGCCTGGACTCTATATATTAAAGTTTATTATCTTTAAATCTTAATTCAACCATCTTTGGTTCACTAAGGAATGTGCGTCAGAAATACAGAATGGGACATTATGATCAAGTTTCTTTCAAAAATGAAGGCCATTTATTTCATGATGATTAGAAAAACGTGCGTTGTCTTGCCACCAAAACGCTCGCGAAGCACTTGGAAGAACTAGCCTCGTTTTGTATGCAGACTGAAGCTCAGCAGGTGAAAGCGTGTCATTAACTGAGGCTAGAAGTGGAAACTCAGTCCCTGATCCATGGGCCTGCTCTGCTCTCTGACACCAGGTGGCTCTGCCCTGCTGAGGCCCGTCAAGTCCCAGAATAATAAACGGGTGGGCTCAAGATATAGATCAAGCATATGCTCTCTGATAAGATGGAAAGTTAACAGACAGCAAATGCCAGCACTGCCACCAGGCCAAGTGGCATCAATAGAGTCTGCTGCCATTTTTGAACTCATAAATGGCCAAGCATTTCATCAGGTACTGCTCGGTGGGTAAACATGAGCCTTAGTAACATCCCCAAATTGTTAAATCCTTACCCACCGTGACCAAGAAAAAGAGACAAGACACCAATTATCATAATAAAAAAATTGTTTAGATCACTATTGACCCTTCAAAAATTAAAGGGATTATAAGGAAATACTGTAACTTCATGCCAACAAATTAGACAACTTAGATAAAATAAAGATTTTTAGAAAGACACATATTAACAAAACTAAGCCAAGAAGAAACAGAAAAACCTGAAGAGAACCATAACTAGAAACTGAATTAGTCATTAAAAAATTTCCCACAAAGGAAAGCTAGGGCCCACATGGCTACATTGATGAATCCTATCAAATATTTAAAGAAAACATAACACCAATTTTAAATTCTTTCAGAAAATAGAGGAGGAGGGAACAATTTCCAATTCATTCTATGACTCCAATATCAAAGCCAGGCGGGGGGTGGCGGGAGATCTCTTTCTCTCACACACACTAGAAACTAATTATCTTCTCAAGAACAGAGATGTAAAAGTCTTCAACAAACTATTAAGCAAACGGAATCCAGCAACACATAAAAAAGGATTAAACACCATGACCAAGTCAGATTTATCCCAGGAACGAAAGGTTGACCTAACATCTAAAACGTAACTAATGTAATATACCTCACTGGTTGAATAAAGAACAGAAACCACAAGGTCATCTATCTCAACAGACTCGGAAAAAAAGCATGTAACAAAATCCAATACACATTCATTATAAAAACTCTCAAAAACTAGGAATAGAAGAAAATGTCCTCAGCCTGAGAAAAAGTTACCTATAAAAATTCTATAGCTAACATTCTACACTCCTACCAATTCTATTCCCCACGGAGGTTCTAGCCAGTATAAGGCAAGAAATAAAAGGCATCCATCCATCCACACTAAGAAAAGAAGTACAACCACCTTAACTTGGAGAAGATGGGATCCTGTATCTAGAAAATACTGAGAAATAAACAAACAACAACACAAACACAAAAACAGTGGAAATAATTTCTCCAAGTTCACAGGATCCAAGATCAATATACAAAACTCAATTACTCTAGCACAATCTAAAACTCAGGTTAAAAAAAACAACTCCACTCAAAATTAAAGTAGGGAATAAATTTAACAAAAGGAAGTGTTAAGACTTTACTCAAAAACTAACACTGAGAAAAATTACAGGTCTAAATAAAGGGAAAAAACTTTTCATAATTATGGCTTAGAAGGCTCAGTATTAATTCTCCCTAAATCGATATATAAATTCACTGCAGTGCCTATCAAAATTCCAGATTTATTTTTTTTCAGAATAAACTGATCCCTAAAATGTATATGGGAATACATAGGCTCTAGTAGCCAAAAGAATTTTGAAAAAGAACAAATTTGGAATTTATACTTCCCGTTTTAAACAGTAGTATAAAGCTACAGTAATCAAGACAGGGCCTTGGCATAAGGACAGAAATGTGTATCAGTGGAAAAGAGCTGAGAATCCAGAAATAGACCCTTACATTTATGGTCTGAAGTGATTTTCAACGAAAGTACCAAGACAACTGAATAAAAAAAAGGATATTCTATTCAACAAATGACACTGGGTGGGACGACTTACAAAATCTCTGTGCCCCTCCCCCAAAAAAAGAACTTAGGTCCTCACAATAAAACAAAAAGTCAAAATGAAACACAGATCAACAGGTAAGGTCTAAAACTTGAGATACCACTACACACCCACCACAATGGCTAGAATCCAAAAGACTGACAATACATCTCTATGATATAGAAAAATTGCAAATTCAAACATTTCTAGTAGGAATGTAAAGTGGAACAGTCTCTTTGGAAAACAGCCTGGTATTTTCTTAAGAAGGTAACTATATACATTCCAAACAACCCAGCAAATTCACTCCTAAGCATGCAACCAAGATAAATACAATATACAGAGGGTGCCAAAAAATGTATATGCATTTTAAGGAAAAAACTATTAAAATTACGCTGATGGTAACCACTCCGAGCACCTCTTGTAATTACAGAAGTCAAACGTGACTTGTATTCATCTTTTGTTATCGGTATATATTGAGTATTACAATTTTAATAGTTTTTTCCTTTCTTAAAACATGTATACATTTTTGGGGGCACCCTCGGTATGTCCACACAGACACAGTGATCCCAAACTAAAGCAATCCAATGTCCATTAACTGGTGACTGGATAGACATCCAATGGAATATTGCTCCACAATAAGAGAATAGCTCCTGATAAACTATGACACAGGTGAATCTCAAAAATATTATGCTAAGTGAAAGAAGCCAAAAACAGAAGACTATGATTAGGATTCCATTTACATGGAATTTCTAGAAAAGGTAAATCTCTATAGAGATGAAAGCTGTTTAGTGACTGCCTAAAGCTAGAGGTAGCAGAGATTAACTACAAACAGGCAAGAGGGAACATTTTGGGTGAGGAAAATATTGTATACTTACAATGGTGTATTTTACAATGGTGTACATTGTATCTCAACAGGTTGTTTAAAAGAAAAAAACTTCAACAACACATGGAGGAAGGGACCATTTCTATGTATATCATTAGGCTATCCGAAATGCCATGATCAGTTTATAGCACATAGTAGGCACTCAAATATCTTCTGAATTTAAAAAAAATTCTGGGGCATTTACCCGTCAATTTGACAACTATTAACTGAATTGTTTACTGACAACTATTAACTGAATTGTTTACTGCATGTCAAGTACTATTCTAGGCAATGCGGACCAGCAATATATAAAGTAAACAAGATCCCTGCTACACCTGAACATATAATTTAATGACAAGATGAATGAGGAAATAAATAAGGAAAAAGAGAGGTGCCGTACAGAAAATAAAAAGGGTACGGATGATAAGTGGTCTGAGAAGACCTCTCAAAGGAGGTAGTCATACAAACTGAGGCAAAAGTATTAAGAAGTGACTGGCCATGTGAAGATACGGAGGGGGAAAATCATTCCAGACAAAAGGAATGATAAAGGAATAAAACAATGGCCAGGATGGCTGAAGCCTGAGTGATGGAGAAACAGGTATGAGATGAGTCAGAGGACTGTCCAGGAGGCCAGACTCAGGAGGGCCTTCCAAATAAGGGTAACAAGATTTAGATTTCATTTTAGGTATCATCGAACACCACTGGATAATTTTAAGTTTTATGAAATGTGCACATCATCTCTCCCACAAAAACCTTGTCAATAAAGACATTCCACAATTCTTTAATGAGTTCAAGACTTGGATAAGACCTACAGCTGGTGCTTCTGTTATCAAAGGTTTGGATTTAAGATATTTTTAGTACTTGTCAGATTGTGTTCCTTGTACACTTCTTTTCAGTTATAATCTTAGAACCACAGTGAGAAGGTCTGAGGTTTCCTGCTTACTCATTATTTCCCCAAAGCAGTAACTGATTCAAATTGTTTGGCAGACAATATGCTTTCCTCCTTAACAGGCTGATGTCTGTGCCTTCTCTCATTTATGATGGAGCATTTTACTACTTTTCTTCCTGCCTCAGTTAAAGCTTTGCTTTCCCCCAAATCATGCCATCCCTTTTCCCTACGGTCTATTAAAAAAAAAAAAAAATAAAAGCATTGGCATTTCAGAAATTCTAGCATGTTTTGAAATACACAGGAAGGAGCTTACTTCTCCGGCATAATAAAGTGCAGCAAGGACCAGAGCTCTTTGAGGGAATTCTGAAGAGGGGTCCCCGTTATCAGGAGCCTATGGTTGGACTTGAAATCAATCAGGGTTTTATACAATAAAGAGTCATCATTCTTCAACCGATGGGCTTCATCCACTCCCAGAAAGGCCCAGTTAATACTGCCCAGCACAGTCTAAAGTAAAAACAAAACAGAACGAGCCACCAGGTGAGAAGGGCACCCAAAAGTACTGTCAAGTGTTAATTATCTCTGTACAAAAATACCATCACAAAGGTATACACAGCAACATTGATTCTTCACTGACTTCAAGTATATTAGGACTCTTCTGTTTATTCTGTTGGTCGCCAGATTGGTGTCTATTCAAAAGAGCACGTCCTCACCTAAAAGGCATTGGGGGAGGGGAGGTTCTCTCATGCAGGCATTGCTGCGTGCCCCAAAGTAAGGACACAAAAATTGGCATGCTGGGCAAAAATGACACAAAAACAAAAACCAAGTGGTTCTGTGGTCTCTCCTTAAACAAGGTTCTTCTCTGCCTGTTCTCCACCCCAACCCTGAAGCACCGAAACACCAAGAGCCACCAAATTGAGCATGTTCTCACTTATTATCACCAATGGGGTCACCTGCCACATATATTTCTCAGTGACTGTGGAAAGGAGGTAATCTAAACAGCTTCGTTTTTCTTCCTTTCTCAGAGACCATCCATACTGTCTGCTCCGGACAAATGCCGTAACGACGATTAATGGGAAATGCCTGTGATGGGGCTCAAGCCTAGTTCCCAATGACTGAGGACTATCTCAGGGAAGTCACTGGCCTCACTACGCTTTCGTCCTGTTTAACTCAACTGGACTAAGCTACTTAAGGTCCCCTGCAACTGTAAGGTTCTGTTTTTGTAATCTGTAACTTTCATACTCCTTGTGGATTTTTTGATTGCTCATTTGCCTGTTTTAAAGAAATAAAGAAAAATAACATGGCAAGTAGGAAGTACAGACTCCACCACTTGAACAAGTCACGCTACAAAATTTAGCCTGTTAGCTACCGATTACACACCTTATCTTTTAATAGAATCTCATACGTTGTTATGAGTGCATTGAACTTCAGCCTTTTGGTCTGAGAATGAATCCATTCATATTCCCGTATCTGTAAGAGAAAACGGTAATTAAGATACCATTTCTACTTTTAGCTTTCTGTATCACCAGCAAGTACTGTGACAGATGCAACAGAAACATGCCGAATAAAAAATAAATCTGCTTAGAATTTAATGAATAACAAGACATTCTAAATTGACCTACGCAACCACAATATCCAACAGTAAGAGTTAGAATTAAAAGATCTTATCAGTAAGCAGCAAACACTTTAGTGCCAGAATTCAAATAAATTGTCATCCTCTCCACCCCGCCGCCCCCAACAACCTGACACATTTGACAAAATAAAATAAAATGCATTCTGTCAGCAATTTAACCCTGGTGAACTGAATTTATCTAGGGATAGCCCAGAATGAGAATTTTCTTAAGGAAATATAATTTGATTATTCTTTGGGTAGGGCAATAGTTTTCTGAACAAGTAAAACAAATTCCGACATCTGGCTTAGTCAGAAATTTCATTAATCATACAGCAAAAAGAGGTGGCCCCCAAGAAAAAGGAAAGGGAGGCTTGTGGGATGGAAATACAATTGAACATGAGTGAAAATGTCAGTGTGAAAAAACACGAAAGTAAGACATTCCTACTGAGGTGTAAGTGGACACCCAGCCAGCACAATGGCCCATAACAAAGCGCCTGTCGTTTGTTGTCATAGGAACCGGAGAACAGGGCAAGGGGTACATGTAGGTGACCACCGCCAAGTGGGAAGAAAGAACAAAGAGAGGGGGGGAGCACTGGACACCTCGAAGGAAACTGCTCCGACTCCACAGGTTTTCAGGGTTCACCCTCTTTGTCTTCACCACTATATGCATTGCTTCAAGCCATTCTGCATAATCTAGGAAGTTTTTATTTTCTTTTTTATGGTTAAAAAAATGGGTCAACAAAACTAAGAACTACTATAGGCTTAGAAACTCAAATTTTGGGCAACAACATCTGCCAGTGTTTGGGTTGGGGAGACAAGGAAAATATTTATTACAAATCAACTTAAATTAGCATAATAATATGATTATAAAATAGTTCTCAGAGGTTTGAGGATTCCTAAAGGCTTGCTCTTATAAGTAATCCCCCAGAAAGAGTTTATTTTAACTTACAGGGGCCAAAGAGCTAAGGTATGGGACCAGGTACCTCTCTATCCCAACCCCACATTCTAGCTGGATGGACTAGGGACAAGTGTTAAACTCTTGGAGTCAGTATCTTCATCAGTAGGTTAGAAAGAATAGCACATAGTTTGAAGACAGGTAATATACATAAAGCACCCAGCACAGGATCTGGATTATAATCGGTGTTTTTTAAAAACTTAATTACCAAGAAATGATTTGCGAAACAAAGATAAACGCAAGTCCCTGTGCTCTAAGTTCCTGATGCTCAAATTAAGCTTGATAACAAACAGATAATTTTCATTTCTGCAGCCCTGAAATGGTTCGTTTGTCCCCTTCCCCTCATTCCTTTCTTCTAAATTATGCAACCTCACCATTTTAAAAGGTTGGGAAACAAACTCAATTAGTTTCAGTAATACCTCTCTGCTGAAATAGCAGAAATAATATCAATTCTGTAAGGTATTCAAGTCCATCTAGAATCCTTTAGAAAACGGTCTTGGAAATACAGAGGACAGAGAGTATAAAACTTAATGCTGCAATCCAACTAAGAGAGCGTTCCATTCATATATTGCTATTGCTTTTCTTTATATAATAAGCACGTTTTAAAAAAAACATCTGAGTTGCATTTTTGTGATACATAAATCTCCCAGTATCAGGGGTACAGCAGTGTCACAATCACAATTTTAAACACTACCATGGCTTTAGGTCAATTTCCAAAATACATTTATAACACAGATTCTATCCCAATTCTTTTTGTTTACACACCGTATTTCTGCTCATCAGGTCACCTATGTAAACCACTACGTTAATCTCTGGTGCCCAGATTTCAAACTCCCTCTGCCATGAGGTGAGGGTGGATAAAGGGACGACTATAAGAAAGGGGCCATACAGCTGGTGTTGGTGGAACAGGTAGGAGAGGAATGATATGGTCTGGATGGTCTTTCCTAGGCCCATTTCATCAGCCAGGATTACACTGTTACTTCTGCAGAAAGAAAAAACAAAACCAAAAAACAAAAAACCAAACCATTAGTTCACAGACACACACAAAAAGTATGTGCACAAACAACAGTAACACCCATGCCTCGTCACCAAGCAAGACATTGGTTGTGAGCCTCAACTGTATTTCCTCTCATCTGCAATTAAGTCTCCTTCAATAGAAAGTAGAAGCTATACATACATAGCAGACTAACAACTGATCTAAGCGTAATCAAGATTTGGATTACTGCAAGAGGCTGATCAAACTGTTTTTGACCTTGTGTTTTGGTCTTGGGCATCTATCCCTCTGAACAGAAAAGGCGGGCTTTGTTACACTGGTGTCCACATGCACATGACCTTGGGTTGCATCCACACAGAAAGCAGGGGCAGACTGGCTAGTCCCACTGCTGGTGAACCCTAGAGCCTGACAGTCTCGTGCCTTTGCTCAAATTACCCTCCCCCAACACACACACATTCCACTGTATGCCACTGGGGTGTTCAAGGCTATGTACACGACTCCCCAGACTTGCGTGCTGCTTTTGAAATACACTATGATCTGCAGCAGGGGTACGCTGCAGGTTCCCAAATCCCATCCTAGACCCACTGAATCTGAGTATTCTGGGAAAGGGCTCAGGAATGTGCTTTTTTTTTTTTTAGAAATTGTTATTGGGGAACAGTGTTTTTTTCAAGGACCCATCAGCTCCAAGCCAAGTAGTTGTCTTCAATCTAGTTGTGGAGGGCACATCTCAGTGGCCCATGCGGGGATCAAACTGGCAACCTTGGTGTTATGAGTGCTGCGCTCTAACCACCTGAACTAACCGGCCACCCCAGGAATGTGCATTTTTAACAAGCACTTCTGGATATTCGGATGCAGGCGTATTCCTTGGACCACGCTTCAAGAAACAATGCTCTAGCAGATGGGCTGGATGGCACAGGATACTAATAGGGAAAGGATTGTGCAGATTTAAGAAAAAATTTTTGAAGAAGTGGCCAGGGTTAGGAAAATATTTTCAGGAAATAGAAAACAGCCCGTTTGGCAGGAAATTAAGAATCCATACATGACATAAGGTTGCAAACATTAAAAGGTTCTTGAAAATCAGGCCATTGGAGGTTTACACATATAACACATGCTTATTCATCAGTGAACCAGACAGAACTGGAAGTAATATGCTCGTACAAGTTAAAAACAGTTTGATTAGAAAAACAAGACATTTGGGGCAAGCCGAGTGGTTAGGAGTTGGCTTGGGATGCCAGCTCTGAGCAGCAGGGCCCCGGTTCAGATCCCACATGAAGGCCAGTGATGCTGCGCCCTCTACAGCTAAGATG